TAAGATAGATTTGATTTTCTTGCCTTTGTAGGAGTAAGAGTCCTAACTTATGCAAGATTTAAGATCTTGGATGAATTATGAAGTAGATGAAAATAGGAAATGGATGAAGTAAGGTTAAAGTGATCTTGGGTCGATGGGCTTGAGCCCAAGTGGACTAGTGATGAGGCCTAGTTGGAGGCAAGGCCTTAGTGTTTGGAGAAACCAACTCATTAATTGTCTGATTGGTGCAATGGGCTAGCCCATAATATGGATTTTAGCATAGGTCCAACTGTAATTGGACCATGGCCTTGGCCACATAGTAAGTGTCTCATGTTTGGACTTGGTGAGGCCAAAGATGATTTTTGAAATTGTCAAAGCACTACAACAAGAGAAACAACATATTGGTAAAACATAGGGATATAAAAGCTTATGTAGGCCAAGTTGTCCCTTATGGAGCTAAATGTTTCTTTCTAGCCCATGTCATCAATTTTGGAAGATCGAGAAAGAGGAATGGACTTGAAAAAGCCAGGCTCACAAGACAAAAAATGGATAGGGGCTTAAACGGGAGTCACCTCACTCCACTCCTCAAGTAGATTCTTATACCTATACGACATCATTTGCATTTTGCCTTGTGGTCCGTGAGAGGCAAACCTAATGTTCTTTAACGACATAATTGTCTTGCTCCTTATTGTTGGAGCACTCGACCAGCCAGTCACAGAAACATGAGATTTAGAGAGTATTTGAATCTTCATAAGACTTTTCTCTATAGTGCTAGATGACTTGGAATGAGTACTCTTCCTCTTCTTAGTACTTTTCAATGCCTCAACCAACTTCTTTAACTTCTCAAGGTCACCCTTAGAAGCCGTAACTTGTTCCTTTGTAACAAAAGACAAACCAACAAGAATCAGAACGTTGAACCAAGTAAGACAAACATCATAAAGGCATGAAAAAGAAGAAGCTCACCAACGACATCAGTTGAGCACTAAACCAGCCCCGTAGTTCTCAACAACTCAACATCCAACAAAATGCGTTGATCAGGTAACCTAACAAACTTGGACCTACTTACTCTAACACTCTCCACAAAATCAGGACCAAAAGCATCGTTTGGTCTATAAGTATCTGCACCAGTTTGAAGAAAGAAAAAAGAAACCCTCAGACAAACTATCAACGATAGAGGCATCTACGAAAAGACTCATGAATCAAGAAAGATAAAAACATGCAAGATGGAACATGGTTGACACTCGGAGTTTCCCATCTCTTCATATATAATGGCTTCTTTAATTGACACCTACATAAAACCATTTGCGTTTCCACTCATGGGTGAGAATGGTGATGCCTACAAAAATGGCTTTGCTTCAAGTGCACATGTAATACTAGCCATGGGAGCTATCCCTTAGCACAACCTTTAACTAGTAAAGGCTCTTGCTCTTCAATTCAGTCAATGTAATTTCATGAGGGCAACAACTCTACCACAAAACCCTAAAAGACATGACCACCCTTCATCCATTTATAGTAACCTGACCAAGGGCTATCTTAATCTTTACAAGAATTTGTCTCAACTCGTTTGGAAGGAGAAGTATAAAGCCACACTCAAAAGTGCAAGGGTAAAAAGCTACAAACCTTGCTGAAGGGTTTGATGGGACGTCACCTTCTACAAGGGCTCGAAGGATAACATCATCTGGAATTTGATACTTAGTTCTATAGTATCTAAGTCCACTCTCTCCAGTTTTAAAGGGCTCAGCATCAACGCCCTAATTTCTTACCTCTTGACGCACCTTGCGACTCCTTCGCTTAGTAGGGGCTTTTACATTACCAATGATTTCTACGCTAGCGGTCCCCAAACTGGATAACATATTGTTGCTCTTCTTGTCACTAGACAGAGTCTCTGTCATATTTTGAGAACCTTCCACCTCATACATAATTTATGCTAAGTCTTAGGGTTTTAACGCAAGTATCACAAATCCATACCAAGCAAGAGTGTGTAGATGGACGCAACAAGCAAATAAGTAAGGACTACTGAGTATTCGATCAAGATCAATCAACAAGTAAAATAGCAATAATTTGAAAACCTTAGAAACATTAAATCTACAGAGTACATCTCTAAGGACAAAGCATTGAGTCATGGTGAAGAGGAGAAAGCCAGAAAACTAACCTAATAAAGATGACAAACGAGGCGATTTGATCAAAAAGTGATTTTCACAAGAGCCAAGAATCGTTACAAACAAAGGTTAGAAAGCAAAGAAATCGTAAAATGGCAGGAAAACAACAGACAGGCTTTATGAACACAATGTCAGGGTTAGATCCCAGTCGTTGGATAGATCACATGGCTAGGGATCAAAGCGCATGCCCCAACTGCCAGGTGTCGTGACCACAAGACCCACACACCCAAAAATAATTATGGTGCAATAGACGTGGCAAGCGTAGAAACATTAATGCATTCTCATCAACTGCCCATTCGCCATAAAAGTCGCCCACGTATGTAGGAGTCTAATAGCCATAACATAACACTACAATTTCAAAATTTGATTGCCAAAAGGCTGTGACACATAAGCCAAACCCTAGAGTAAAAAAAAACAGCATTGTTGTAGTATTTGGAACCTTGTAAGACTCTAAAAATGTGAGCAATAGATTTGGCTCATGGAGAGTCAGAGACAACATTATGACTCTGCAAACCAGAGGCCCTCTGTAGTATCCGAATTTCCGTAAGGGCAAAATAATAAAATCCTAAATTGATATGCTTGCCCACTAAGTAATTTAAAGGATATCCCTCCAAAATAGAAAATAGAATTCTAATTAGATAGAGAAGTTATGGGAAAAACAAAAGTGAGTTAAATTAGGGAAGGAACAAGGACTAGATACGGTCTGAAAAAGGGAAAAAAGATCTTGTATTCTCCTAAAACTATAAGAATCCTTCTACAACCCTAAATCCTACTACGACAAGGAAAGTCATTCTCTAAACCGTAATCTATTTCACTATATAAAGGGGGCTAAATGGCATGGAATGATCATACAATAATCACTAAGAGAAATCTCGTACTTGAGCACTTAGTATTGAAGCTGATAATCGTCGAAATTAGCCTCCGCCCTTGTTCTAACCCTACAATCCCACAGGTGCCTCTACAATTCTTTTGTAGGGATGGAAACTGAGTTGCATCAAACAATTGAGTGAAAGATGAAAGAGTCAACGAATCCAAGAATAGAAGTGCAAAGGCACTGTGTTTCAGAAGGGCAAAATTTGGCATCAACAATTTCTATATATATAGTTATTTTTAAATGAGTAAACAACATGTTCCCACCCGAGGTTTAACGAAATCCAAAAGTAGTACCACTGGTTTCATTTATTCCAGATTGCCACCATTAAACTAACAGTGTTAGTCACTGTTGGATTCAGAAGAGAGCAATTACCAAACTACCCTCCCATCTTCGTCTTCTTCTTCATCTCCCCCTTCTTCTCTTCTGCCGCTTCTCTCTCCCTCCATTCTAACGGCAGAAATTAACAATGGGGTGTAAGTGGTTATTTCTGAAGTTGGTAAGGTAACATATTTTTCAAGTTATAAGGGTGTACAAAGATAACCCATAATCCCCGGATCTAGCCGATGGGTTGTTGGGATTAATTCCCAGTCAAAATTTGTTCCTGAGGTTTGAAGGAAGAATCCCTTGGTTCATGTAAATAATAAAAGTCACTTTCACCCCTTTTAGATTGTGCACGTTAACTCTATTAAACGGCACAAGGTCATTTTGTCTTCTCAAATACATAAATTTTGAAATTAAAATTTAAAATTAAAGAAATATAAAAGGATTGAAAAAGCACCTATGTATATCTTGATTTGGGTAATATATCTTGTGGGTTTTTTTTTTTTCGAAAACAAATCTTTGCGGTGGTTTCTTTTTTCTTTTTTTTGGTATAAGGTTTGGAGTATATGGTCAGTAAATGGGTGGGTTTGATCATTGGGATTTAGGTATGGATTAGTTGTGTGAACCCGGTGTGGTGATGCCTTGCATTTCATGATGGACCCTTGATAGTGTGAGTGGGTTTTAATGGTGACCTTACGATTAGTTGTAGAGCCTTTCTATTTATTTAATTTTTTTTTTTTTATATGATTCTATTTTTTTTTTAGATATTTTGTCTTTTTTAATCTTTAGAGTTTGATTTTTCAAATTGTTATTCAGTATTTATTTTTCCTAGTAAAATAAATGGCTAGTGTAGACATTTTAGAACTCAAACTAGGGGTGTAATTGAATCGAGTCGATCTAAGTATTGAGAGGCTTGACCTCAACTCAGTTAGAATAGTCGGAGCTCAATCAAGCATCAATTGTTGAGCTCGACAACTATATGGTGGGCTTGAGCTTAGCTTGGGCTTGACTCAATTACGATCGAGTTGAGCTCGAGCTTGTCTCGATTCAACCCATAAACACAACAGCCAACAAACCCACAATATTCAATAGAAAAAATGTGTACGGGATGAGGGGTTGGAGGCTTCGACACTGCTTGCCCAATTTGCAGTAGTTGTAGCCTCTAGCTACTACAGAAGAAGAGTCGATGGGAAGGCAACAGTGGACAAGGACAAGGAAAGGAAAGGAAAGTAAAAAAATCCAATTTGAACAATGAAATGTGAAATGTGAATTAGGGACTTGAGGTTTAAATTTTTTAATTATTAGTTATTTTAATTTATATATACTATTAAATTTAATTTTATATAATATGTCAAGCTCGAATCAAATATTAGGAAGTTTGAACTCGAGTCGAGCTAAGCCCAAGTCGCTCAAGAATGGCTCAACTCGGATTACAGCCCCAGCTCAAACTTTGACGGAGACTAAAATCTTTTAATGGTTGTTACTTGAGGCTGATAGAGACTGCAGTGTCCATTTTCGATTTTACTGGACCAAATAAAACTCTTCAAACCTTAGGGTCGTATTTGATATTAACTCGATATATTCTTACTGTCAAAGAAAGAAGCAGTCTTGACCAACCACATTGGTCCCGTGGTGTGCGAACGTGGCATTGCACATCAACTCAAACTCAACAAGTAACTTTTACAAACGACAAAACATTAACACAAAACTAAACCTCTTCCACCCTCACTCACCAAACTCAAACAGATCATTTACACTTTGAGTTCAGTTGAGTTGTTACAATGGAGTTTCTAGAAGAAGCTAACTACCAGTTGAAGGAGATTCAAACACTCGAAGGTCACACCGACCGAGTCTGGAGCCTTGCTTGGAATCCATCCACGGGACGCGACGGTGTTCCTCCACTTCTCGCTTCTTGTAGCGGCGACAAGACCGTTCGAATCTGGGAGCGTAACCTCTCCTCTGGCTCTTGGGACTGCAAGGTTCCGTTTCACTTTTATTCTATTTAAATTTTAATACATTAATAGAATTCAAATATGAAAACCTAAATTGACTTTCTGTGAATATGATTTTTATTTATGAATGGGTATAGTGATCTGCTAGTGGCGTTTTTAAATTGACTATGTAATTGATGTTGAAGCCATGGGATTGTGCAGGCAGTTTTGGATGAAACGCATACGAGAACGGTACGATCGTGTGCTTGGTCTCCGTCCGGGAAATTGTTGGCAACTGCAAGTTTTGATGCCACCACTGCAATTTGGGAAAATATTGGGGGTGATTACGAATGTGTCTCCACTTTAGAAGTATACTTTTCTGTTCACTTCATAGATTATTTATTCAATTTGGTTGGAATGTTAATAGCTCAACGCTTCATATAGTTTGTTAAAATGTTAACAACTGCATCAATTGCTGCCTTATTCTTAAAAAAAATTTAAAGCAATTTACGACATGATAGTTCATATTTCCTGTCATTTGAGAATTTTTATTTTATTTTTTATTTCTCTTGTTTGGTGTATAGGGTCATGAAAATGAAGTGAAAAGTGTGGCTTGGAATGCTTCTGGGTCTCTGCTTGCTACTTGTAGTCGAGACAAATCGGTTTGGATTTGGGAAGCAATGCCAGGGAATGAATTTGAGTGTGTTTCAGTGTTGCAAGGACATGCACAAGACGTGAAAATGGTTCAGTGGCATCCAACAATGGATGTTTTGTTTTCTTGTAGCTATGATAACACTATCAAGGTACTGTGTCATCTAAAACGCTTCGTCCATCTTGTATGTTATCTATATATGTGGTCCAAAGAAATGTTTGATTTTTTCTGTGTTCTTTACTGGATAATAGATTGACTTTAATACATGCTTGTAGGTTTGGTGGGCAGAGGACGTGGACAGTGATAATTGGCAGTGTGTTCAAACTATAGGTGAATCTAACAAGTACTATACCCCAACCTCTCTCTATGCATTTTCAGCTCCTTTGCTTGCTTCTTCCTCTTCTGGCTTCATCTTTGACACCCTATTATGCAGTTAATTTAATTTAAGTTTTATGTGATGTTAAAGATTTCCATTGCACTGACGTTTAAATTTTTGGACAAATAATTCTTGTTTTAGTATGATGAATTGAATTACTCTAACTCAATAAGCCTGGTTTTCTTATCAGTGGTCACTCATCTACTGTTTGGGCTTTATCATTTAATGCTGAGGGAGACAAAATGGTTAGCTGCAGGTATGCGGCATTCTTTTTTCTAATTCCGATTCATGCTAATGGGATAGTTTCTGTCTGCAAGTGGTGTTGAGAATGAAACTTATTGACAAGGAGATTTAAAATAAACCTGGACTGACTTGCAGTGATGATCTCACCTTAAAGATATGGGAAGCTGACATTACAAGAATGCAGTCTGGTGATGGCTATGCACCTTGGTGAGGACCAGCCTTCTGTATTTTTTATCTCTTTCTTGTTTTGATTATATATTAAGTATATGCTAAGTTTAGCTATATTATTTTTTTGTTGTGTGCACTGATAATTGGTTCTTTTTCATGGATTTTTCAGGAGACATATGTGCACCCTCTCAGGTTATCATGATCGAACAATTTTTTCTGTTCACTGGTCAAGGTAGTTATGGCCTTTACTTGTGCTGCACATTTCTTAATTTGTAGGTCTAAACAGGCTTTAATATAGGTATTTAGGATTTGAATTAATGTCATTGGACAGTTTTGGAATTAGGACTTCTAGAATTTGGATTTGTCGAAAAAGTAACATATGGTTTTAGATTTTATAGGGTTTCCGGAGAACTTTGTTTGATGGTAAAACTATAAACTTTGTAAAGGCTACATGTAAATGGTGAACAGTGACTCAAACAGTTATCATGAAAAATAAACCAAGTATCCATGAATGATTACTTTAGTTGTGCATTGTAAGAAATTAAAAAAGATCAAGAAAAAAAAGCTAGAAGAATAGGTTATTCTGGGTCTTGATGCTGTTTAAATTTAAGAAAGTTAGGAAAGATCTCTTGTAGCCATATGCTATTTAAATTTAAGAAAGTTTGAGAAAGAGAAAGTTGTTTGGTTTAAATTTGGTTATATGGGTAAGGGTGAATGAATAACAAAAGCCAAATAAAGACTTTAATAATGTTAGACTCAACTAATAATCAATATCCCTTTATGTATAGGAATTATAGAAATTATAGGTTTTTCTTGAAATACAAAATTGCCATACTTAATTACTGAAAGTTAGGTATAAATAGAAATTGGCAACAAAATTGTATCCCAGGGCTGTATCAGTTTTATTCATTGTCTTTAAGAATTAATTCTTTAATGTAGAATATCTTGACTTTGGAGACATCTGGATCTATGATTTATATTTTTGTTTCCCCTCAGCTGTCAGAGGCTGAGATTTTAAATAACAGCCATAAAGAATTGAATCAGAATGGAGTCTCACACTATAAAAAACCTAATTTTAGTCAACAATCTTTCATTTAAAAAATAAACGAATGGTTTGATGTGCGACTTGGTTAAATATACAAAATGTAGTACTGGCAATGAAGGTATTATCTGATGTAGTCAATTTGGGGTGTTCCATTTTTAATGGATTTGGCACTTCAAGGTCATTGTAATAAAAGCTTTCATGTAGTCTATGAGTACCTACTGCCAGTAGTTGTTATCTACTTGCTTAGTTTGTATTATTCACTGCTAGATGTAAACAGTGTACAATTATGACAGGGAAGGTATTATTGCCAGTGGAGCGGCTGATGATGCTGTGCGGTTGTTTGTGGAGAGCAAAGATGCTTTGGTATTAATTATTCCTCATCAGCTCATTCATTGTATTTACCTGTTCTCATCATGTAGATTGCTTCATTAACACCATATTCCATGAAACTGAAATGCTATTATATACTTCCATACCTGTTTCCTTGTATATAAATTTTCTGTTTATGCTTTAGTGGAAGTCAATTGCTAAGTTGGGACTTTTGTGTCAACTCCATTTTTGAATACCACTGATGTGTGATTCACAACTTAGCTGCTCATTGAGCACCGCAAGTGTTTCTTATCTGTTATCTTGTAATTGATTTTGGATGATTGAAGTCTTATATATAAATGGGGATTTGGTTTTCTCTTGGGTTTCTCAGGTGGACACTATCTCTCTTTATATGTCAAGACGCATCTAGTTTCTGACTTGTAAAATTGTTTCATGTCCTGAATTGCCCCAAATGATGTGTATTACTTAAAGGTTTGGCACTGACATGGAGATGTAAATCTTCTTCAAGTTCTTTGATATTTAAAAAGCTTATTTTTCTGGCACTTTGTGACCTCTCTGTGTAATAACCACTGCTCTATCCTTCTACTTCCCACTGAAGGTGTCTGCTTTCTTTAGCCTGGAAACTTGCTTTGTCATTAATCTGATCATAGTACTGAACTTTTTTGGTACCTAACTGGTCCCAATTGCTTGACATGCAAATAAACTATTGAGGTAATTAATTAAAAAATATAAAGAACAATGAAAAAATATCTCTCTTTAATGTGCCTACAAGTTATATGCTTATTTAAGTTAATTCATCTTTTCAAACAGCTAACTTGTTTGCAGGGATGGACAACAGGGGTCTTTGCCTTTGCCATGTTTCTTGTTTGAAGTCTTGTCAATTGAAGCATGAGATATCAATTGCTCTTTTGACTTATATGTCCCTTTATAAAGTTGCATCTATATATTTATATAGTTGTTTTCAATGGTGGTTTTTGAAATCTGAAGTTTTGAGTGATTAATTTTTGGGTGTGGTGTTCATATTAAATCTTGAAACCTGAACTGCCTAGAAACTTAATTGGTAGATTGTGCAAGATTCTTCAGAATGAACTGTGATTTTTTGAAGCACATGATTCTGGACTGACAATTGTTGATGCATGATTTTTTCTGTTTCCCCCTTGTGCTTGATTGGGTAGTATCAATTAGTGAGATATGTTATGTGCTTTAATCACAGATTGATGGACCTTCATATAAAATGCTGTTGAAGAAGGAAAAGGCCCATGACATGGATGTCAATTCAGTGCAGTGGAGCCCAGGGGTAAGATTTCCCTTAGAAAGTTAATGAGATTTTATGAGGGTGCGGACATGTGCTTGGTACACATATGTTCACATATGCACTAATGACTTTTATAGATATCTTTGCTTACACAGAAATTACTCACTTGATAGATTCCAGTGAGTCAAGGTTTTGGGGCTGTATGACAATAAATCAACAATTTTACTCCAATCATCTATATTATAATGGTTGAATAATGGATATTTAAGATTCTTACTGCTACGTTAATAGTGCCTGTTACCAGTTGCTGTAACTTCCAGATAAGGAAATAGAAAACTGTGGCCAGAAATTTTTCTTTCCCTGTTTGAATTGTTATGATCTTGAGACTTGCTGGGAGTTTCTACTGACCAGACCATTTAAGTTTTACCGTTAACCCCACTCATGGGTGTATTAAAGATGTTTTTCAGTTCTCCAAGCAGGAGTCTCCATTTTTTTTTATCTTTTTCTTTAAACTATAGAACATCTTCAAAACATTTTAGGATCAATGTTTAAATTATTCACATATACGAGTGAGCATGGAATTCAATTAGATCTTAACGAGGGGGAAGGGTGCTGGCTGTTGTAACTGCTATAATATTTGATGTCTTTGGATGGTTATGTTATGTTTCACATGCAATTATTTTGCTTTTTTTTATTATTATTGTTGTTGTTGTTAGTATTAATATTGTTGCTGATACTAAACCAGGAACGCCCTCTACTTGCCTCTACAAGTGATGATGGGACGATAAAGATATGGGAACTGGCTAGTACATTGTGAAAAAAAGATGGCATAGCTTATGTGGGAACTAGCAATTTGAGTCTTTTACAACATTTGATTATTAATTAAATGCTGTAGAGTATGTTTACTTTATAATTTTATCAGGTTGTGGAGATGTTCTTCCACATTTGTTGGCAGTTTCTGAAATCGAAGGATTAATATATAATATATAGCAAGAAAAATGTGGCTTACAGCATTATTATTATTATTATTATTTTTTTTTTTTTTTTTTTCATTTTTAAGAGTTGCTTCATCCTTAGTTTTGACTAGTCTCTTTCTCTCAAGTCATGCATGTATAAACACATGCGTACTCGAACGCATGGATCGCAGTATTTTTCACTTTCTTAGTACATTGTTTGAATCATTTATGGAAAGGTACTTACCAGATGTTTGGCAAAATAATGCGGAATCGGTAGTTCGTTTTTACTCGTTTTTCTTTTGGAGTAATGGAAGAATTTTAGCCCAGATTACCAGAATTGGAACGGGACTATGGCACATTTATATTTTACAGTGAAAGAGGCAGATGGGACACCATTCTTCTCAGGCTATTGAAACATGAGTAAACGCAAGGTTTGGTGAATCTACGAGTTTTCACCCCTGGTTTTATAAATTACAGTTTCTCACCTTTAAACTAATAGAAAATTGTTTAATTTAACAGTTAAAAGGGTAAAATGGTCATTTCAAAGATAAAAATTTTAAAACAACCCTTTACTTCTCAAATTCACCCTACTAAAAAATTTTAAAATAATCCTTCGCTTTTCAAATTCACCCCATTGGTGATTTTAGGTCATTTTGACCTGTTTCCACCACAATCAATCGCTCTCGACACAACCATTACAATCCCCTCAACCCTCACATCAAAACCTCTAACCTCCTTGCCTGATTGAGCCCCCCAATTGCTGGTCGACGCTCTTAGTTTTAATTGGCGTTTCATCCAAATTACAGCAAGTTTGACATTGGAAACCACCCCCAATACCACCAATAGCATCACCGACTTCCTCCCACCAAAACCCCTAACATTGTCGATTGTAATTGCCCGTTGACACTGTCGCCTCTCCCTCAGGTTTTTGCATTTTGTCACGTATTTCTAGTCAAATCTGGCCTCGGGTGGAAACTTAGGGGTTTTGGTGAGGAGGATAAGGGGATGCTGATGGTGGTGTTGGGGAGGTCTAATGGTGTTGGACTCAGGCTAGATTTTTGGCTTGGTCAGGATCTCTTTTGGAGGGTTATTTGAGAAAAATATGAGATGTGGGTATTATTTGGAGAGAAGAGTAAAGGTATTAATTTAAGGGTGGGAATCTACAATTTATGAAACAGGGGTGGGAAAATGTCGTTTACTCTTAAAATATTTATGGTGAAAGAGGCAGGTGGGACACCATTCTTCTCGGGCTATTAAAGTTTCGATTGAACAAATCAGTTGTCAAAAAAACCCCAGACAACTTGAACCACATTTTATTGAAACTGTCCCACTTACTGGTTTCTTGGTAGGGGCGGTCTTGAATTCTACAAAACTTTCATGACCATACCTCTAAGCATAGAATTGCCAACATCAATTTCAATGATTCTAACAATTTGCTTGTTAAAGTTTGTGTTCTTCTTTGCACTTGCTCGAAACGGGCTGTCCATCGAATATGCAATTTTTTGAAAACAGGAAACAATTGTCATATATTTGTCCATTGGGGGGTTTAAATCCACAAGAACTGCATTTGCAATCTTTGAGAAATTGGAAGCTATGCAAGTGTCTATGAGGAAACTCAAATCTCAGATGTTGTGTGAGTAAACCACGGCTAAGTCCCCAAAGGTAAAGTTTGTATCCTAAGGGTTTTTCTTTCTTTTTCATTTTTTCTACAAACCCATCTCCTATCATGAAAGGAAGAGGCTAAGAAATTTCCATATTTTACTTGGTGTTCAGTTGAGCAGCTTATGCAAGTAATTTATCGAAACAAATACAAATTAATTCCAGCAAAAAAGATGATCTAATACATGAACGATAGAATGATTAATTTGTAAAGTGCAGATTGGCAATCCAAATATATTCTCTTCAAGTATCAAGAAATATAAAAACAGGGTAATAATGATGGATTAAAAAAGAAAAGGCTAACACCTGTTTTCTATTCTCAATCCACCAGAATTCGATCTTCTTCCTTCTTGAGCCAAAGCTGAACGAGCTGACATAATTGTAGTAGAAACTAAAGAAGCATCAAAAGCAACACAATCAACCCAATCTTTTAGCATCTCTTCTTGACCCCATATATCAGGTATCCATACGTGTCCAGCCACTTCAATTCTATGTCTCTTCAATCTCTCACGTCCATTATCTTCTGATAAATCCCCATCAAGACTACTACTTTCTCCTTCGTTCTTAACTCCAACTATTGCAGTGGAACACATATCTTGTAATGCCGAAACTTGAGCTTGAGCTTCAGATTCTTCATGCACTGAGGTTTGTGCGTGGATGGAATATTGATGAGTTTTGTTGGATTCTGATGCAAGTGGAGGGGAAGAATCACCAGGATGGTGAGTCATTTTGGTGCGTTGTTTATTCATATGAAAGAAAGTAATGTAAATTGAAGGAAAAGAGAGGAGATGGAGGGAGGGAGGGAGGGAATGAAAAAGGGGTGGGAGTCATCCCAAGTGTTTGTTTTGTATGGATCGTGACAAGTTTACGTGTCTTCTTTCCTTTGTGGTTTATTCTTCTTTCATTTTACAAAATCACCAATTAGTCACCCTAATCTTAACTTTGAAACAAAATTTATATATATACATCTATGGAGTAGAATCTCTCCATAGATATGGAGTAGAATCTCTCCATACAGTAAAACATCTCTATAATCACAATATTAGGATCAATTAAATTTATTACTATAAAAAAATTATAATTTAATAGAAGTATAGTTACAAAAATTATTGTTTTTATTTTTTATTTTATAATTCATGTTTTAGTGGTATTATGATTTCAATTCCTTATTTTAGTAGCATTAGGATAGTACGAAAATGAATATCAAAGAATCACTATAAAATTAAGTAATTAGATTCGACAATTTTACTAAACTAATCAAATGGATATTAATTTCTTCCCCAGTTATCTAAATGAGCAACAAATCTTGTATGTTTTAATTGAAAAATAAATCATTACTGGAATTAGATAAGAAGAGGAATGAGATAATCTTGAGGATGATAGTAGGGAAATACCAAAAATTTCATGCCAAAAAGCTCTAAACATGCTTGAAAGCTAAAAATATTTTGGCTTCAACAAGAAGGTAACCATGCTTATGGCTTATTACGTACCCGCAAAATAAAAGATATGGTAACAACTCCAAAGCATAAATCATTGTCTCAAACAACTTTAAATAATTATTTTATTTTATTTTAAACTTTTAATAGAACATAACATATATTTTTTATAATATACATATAATTATTACTATGTAGGATGAGTTCTTTAAGACGAGACCTAAAAAAATTATAACTTAGTCAAGTTGGGACCATAATTTTTTATAACTATATAAAGATTATTGTTATATAGACTATCACTATAAAGATGTGCTACTGTATAAAACTGAATATTCATATGGGTTGGTCGCCATGTTGACACATTTTGAAAGCTCCAACGATTCGGGTACCCGTTCATTTGCCCTTTCTTTTTCTTTCCTGATAGAAGACTATGAGTCTGGCCCAGAAAGCCCACAGCCCACCAAAGCGGCCCAAAAATTATGATAAAGTAATCAATAACCACTTTTTCCATGGACATTTTCGCGATCAAGATCTCTCTATAGCGGCGCAAGCTTTGATTGATGAGAGGCGAGCCCCCTCCTAAATAGATATAGCCGGTCGGATTCAACAATTTCTTCTTCGGTGCGTGCTTTCTTTTCACTTCGTAATCAGACTTTTATCTTCGCTACTAAGGGAGAAGGGAGATTAGTTTCATAGGAACCCTAACTACAGATCGATTGTTGCGATCAAGATCTCTCCGGGAACCCTAACTACAGATCGATTGTTCGACCGAAAGAACCGACTTGTATCGCCATGGATTACACAAGCAAAAGAAGTCAAGGAGGCCTCTTCGAAGGTCTCTACAGAGTTATCATGCGCCGTAACTCCATTTACGTTACCTTTATCATCGCCGGTGCTTTTGCTGGTGAACGGGTATAATTTATTTATTTATTTTTCTAATATATATTTTTTTAATACATTGATATTCTTCTTTCAATTTATTTGTGATTAGTTGATCGATGAAGGAGCACAATTGACTTTATATGATTTTTATTTATTATTTTGCTATATTTTCTGTAAATAAATCATAGAAAGAAGATATTAGATTTTTCTCGTATGTTATGATCTTAGGACTTCTCTAATAATTTAATTATTGGGTGCAGGCTGTGGATTATGGAGTTCGTAAGCTCTGGGAGTACAATAATGTTGGGGTAATAAATTGACTTATTCATTCTTTTTTTTTCTATTTATTCTTCATTTCATCGCTTGTGTGTATGCCTGTTAATTACTTCTGCTGTTGTGGCATGTGTGAGATAAGGTTTATGTTTGCAGAAAATTGCATAAATTATAGTGTATTTCATATCGATCTTCTATTTTCTAAAGCTTCCTGCACCCTTTTTCTAGCTGAAAAGTGTCTTAAGTTTAAACTGTTATTGGTTGTTGATGTGGGGCTGAAAACCGACTACCAATGTAGGTTCACTGTAACTGCATTTCATTTTTTTGACCTAGTTTTCACAGTTGAAGTTAGCACCTCTGTCTTTGAGGCTTTGAATGTATTCTTAGTTAATAACCATCTTACAAAGAGGGAGAGAGAAAGAGAGCGTTATACGCGTAATTGGTGATATAGCTTTAATTTAGAAATTTTAACTTTGAGTGCAATATATCCCTACAACTTAAAGGGCATAAAAGGCTCACTTTGCTGAACAAGGGAGACTGAGAAATATACAAGTGGTATGTGTATGGTTACCGATAGGAATGTACTAGCTAGATTCATGTGATGGATTTTAATGTCGACTCCAATTCATCTTCTGTGTCCATAATTTAAGCAGCAGAGGGTGAAAGTGTATTATCATAGGTTTCTTTTGGGTAACAATGGCTGCTATTGTATTTGATGGTTTAAATGATGTCATTTGATTATGACCATGTTAATTGGATTTCCTGATGAGTATTTTCTTTAAGGCTCTCCATGCTTTAGGTATTTTTCTATTGATTGGCTAAAGTATAATCTTACTGATACATCTATTGACACTTTGCGATCCAAGTTTCTAAGAATATTGGTTATGGTACTGGTTTATTTTGTTACCAATTTCCCTCGAGTCTTGAGTTCAGTTTCTGTCTGATGTTTTCAATCGACATTTATAATGTTATATAAACATAAAATTTCTTTATATAGATGTATGTTTTGCTGGTGGTTTTTCATTTTAACCCTTGTAATTTGATGAGGTAGTCAAATCATTTTTTCTTTTAAGTCTTTAACTAGGGGATCTGATCTGTATTTCAATGCTGGGTCAAGATATCATTAAAAGTCACAAAAGAATGCTTTGTATTATTTTATTGAGATTTGTCCTTTGGGATTGCCGATTCTCTAGCTTATGTAGTGAACAAGTCCTTAAGAATCCTCTTTTTGGTATTTTTAGAAGTAGAAAAGAAATCTATTTTATAGATATCCACTCAGCCTGTAGTATGGATCTTGGATTTTATTGTATTGCTTAAATTTAAGACAAAACAACTACTAGGAAATTTTTGGACAAGTATTTCGTGCAACTTATGTAAGATTTTTCAGTTAGTTGCTTCTCCACTAGCTGTATGCATAAATAGAGTTGCAAATTGTGAAAAGAGGGGAGGTTTATATAAATTTTCACTTCATATCGGATTTTTGACGATCACTCTCTTCTTAATGCTGTCTCTGGTCGTAATGTCATAAATAATGTGAATTGTTTGAAGATGTATTTCATGTGTAGTCACCAGGAAATGAACATTGCTATTGCATACCCCTGGAATGAGTAAAATAAAGTTTATTTTAGAACTGTACTCCAGTTTGGTGCATGCCTCTTTTAGATACGTTATTTCTGTTTTGATTGATAGTCATAACAGGAAGATGCCTTTTGTTATTAGCTTATTTCTTGTAGTTCTCTTTATTGTCACTTTCATTATCTTGAACATCCTGCAAGCAAGTTCTTTCATGAGTTCTATTAAACATGCCTAGAAAATTTAAAGTAGAAAATGTTTTGATGTCATAAGTATTATAACACCAAAAATTTTAATCTCTAGATGCTTAAATGATTAACAGTTGTAGTTAAATTAACCGAGTGACATTGGATGAAATAATGCCCTGGCTTTTGCTATTGCCACCACCGACTTCAATTCAATTTTATTTTTATTTAATTTTACTTTTGTACTGCAGAAACGGTATGAAGACATTCCAGTGTTGGGGCAAAGGCAATCTGAAGAATAGATTAGTGAACTCTATTCCTTGTTATTTTGAAGCTTCATATAAAAAATTTGGACTAAGCATCATTGGAACGTGTAGCAGTTTTTGTTGCAAATAAGCGTTATATGCCCAAGTGCATCAAAACTTATTTCTCAACCATGGTTTCATTCATTGAGGTTTTGTGATTTCTTGAATTGATATTTAACTGTGAACAGTTGTGATTATTTGCCTGGGAAAATCATCTTCTTCAGTTTACGGAATTTAATAATGTTAAATCTCTGTTTGTTTCTCTAGCCTTTTGTTTTCTTGTTTACAAAATCTTTAGAGCTGTTACTTGGTAAATCTATAATGAGCAAATCAAGATTACAGCATTTGACACAAATGGAAAGTAAACAGAGCTTTTTACTGATGATTCAACTCAATGATCTATGAAGAATCATAAATGTATGTTAAAGCTTACTTTCAGGTTGGAACTCTTGCTCCATCTTCGTAAAGATTCTTGTTCTACTATCGTGTTAGCTTTCTTTGACTCATAAATGTTAATAATTCAGTGTAACAATTGTCTAAAAGGATTTAAAGCCAATTTTCAATGTTTGTGTAAAACTGTGCAGTGCTTCGGCGGATTCATTGCCGAACCACCGAGTAAAAATGAGGTCCCATAGTACAATCACTAAGTCTTGAAAATGAGAAGTTTACTTAAAGCATATCCCCATTCTGGAATACCAAAAGAAAAAAAGAAAAAAAAAATGATGGAAGACTTTATGCAACCTTCTATAACAACCAACCAACCTCCCAAATTCCTCTGAACTTTGGCATCCTCATGCAATTCCTTCACTTATATGTACACTTACAATCTTTCTTTTCTTTCTTTTTTTCAAGAAAATACATGAAACATACTAAAGGAAGGATCAAGAGAAACAAATAAAAAGAAAACAAATTACCCATTTGCTAGAACAGAGTTCCATGAAGAATGCAGGCTCAGCATACAGAAAGCTAAAACAATATGGAATCATAAGAGTGTTTTAATTTCCCGCATTTGCAAATTAACTGTCCCGAGCCACCCAGATTCATTACCCCAACAATTACATCACCCTAAAACCAGCACACATGGTAAAAGTCAATCGATCACTCTTCCAGCAGGCCTGATGCGACCATGCTTTTACAGCAGAAACAAAAAATAGTACTATTCTTCACTTCACATTTAAATAAAAGCATCCATGAAACATATTAACAACTCTCTCGGAATATCACTGAAAAAATCCATTCATTATGCAGTTCTTTAATTTCCTCGTACAGAAATGGAAGCCATTACACTAAAGTTTGTAACAGGCACATTTGTGCTGCTTATTGATGAGACATTCATACATCTGGATATGTTTTACAATGAAAACTATGTAATATTTAACCATGTAGTAGCTGGAATCCATTACGTTATCCTCCATAGTCTTCGGACTTGTGTAATATCAGAATTGATCTCACAGCTCCTGTTATGCAGTATTTCATAGGCCATCAACAGCCTAGGAGAAATGCAAGTTGGAATAACAATTTTTACCTGCAATGCTGATTCACTATCAATCTATCACCATATGTAGATGGAATGTGTCCGATTAAAAGTTCTTTATTGATAGATAACCAGCTTCTGCTCCAATAGATGAGCAATATCATACAAAGATACTAGTCGATTTAAAACAGAAATAGTAAAAAATACATGGAATTGGCCCAATGTTTAAGAACACACTATAAAATTCGACCCAAGGACCAATATAGCAAAAATTAGATGACCTCTTGGCCCATTCTGGAGTGTTAAGTTATGGATTGAACAAGATATTGACTGACTAGAACTACTGTTTCACCATAAATGAACTTTTACAATGCACCACCCCTGCACTTGGATTTGTACTCACCTGCAAAGCATCATTACTTGTTACATAACATCTAAGTATGATACATTTCGAGTGATCAAAAACAAAAACCTGGCATGAAGAACAGATTTAATTTGATTACTGAAAGCGCGCTCACTATAGTGTGGCAGCACCATAAATTTATATAGCAAAAATGACTCTGAATCCTCATCTAGTTATTATTGACAACCTAAATTTAGGCACTAATAAAACACCCCAGTTTGCCAATGGTCAATTTCCAATTTCTAAGAGATGATTGCCCCTAACATGCAGTGAAGCTGAAATGAGACTCTTTAATTTCACCAAAACCTCTATCCAATGGTGCATAACTGGCGGAGATTTAAAATTCAAAAAGCAGAGGATAAAGGTGTACATTTCTGTATCCAGCACACAATTAGTATGTTTTTAATATTATAATACTATGGGTGGCTTAATTCAATAAGTCAATCAACAAAATGGATAGCAAATGGTAATATCCAATTCTCAAGATATGATAATTTTAAAAGCCGACCTTGGACTGGAGAAGATTTTTCTGTCTCAACACTACTTGAGAAGTGTACATACTTAATATGAATGGACCAGATCTTTTGCAACAAAAGCTGTGCACATAGATATAATTAATATCAGTCACACACACTTAGAGCCATTATATGTAGTAATTAGCAAACAACTGCAAGGCTGTTGGTCAACAGAATTTGATGGTTAGAAATCCTCTAGTAGTATATCCGCACATACATCATGCCCACAAGTAAACATTTAATATTCTTTTCAAATCCGATTAATTTTAACATAATTTTGGCACCCAATCATGTAACAAACTGTGAGATCACACAATAGACCAGCAGCTAACAAACCAATCATGCGAACTAACCTATACTGCAAATTAATTGCTTAAAAGTAGAAGTTCTGATTTGAATGTGACCTCATCTCCACTAAACCAAATCTTACCTGAGGCAGACCATTACTTTTTTTCCCAACCAGCATACTAGTATATAAGCAACCACAAAAGCACTTGCACCAGCTACTCTCTGTCAAACACGATATAGACCTAAAGGTATATAGTAGAGGAGCTTATTAGCAGTGTTGGACCTAAAAACAGTGGGGATTAAATTTTAGGTGACGCGATGCCTCACAGAAAAACAGTGGGTGAACAGAAAACAGTTCACCGACTAAAACCTTTTCGACTAAAGTAGGGATCAGAAATATGAAATGCAATACAAACAAACAGCTAAACATGTTCTACAAACACTCCAGAGAAAGTGCCTTACCACAAATGCAGAACGAATCAGCTCCTCAACGTAATCAATTTGCCCCTTTTACGAAATCATAGGAAATTTATCAATCACCAATTTAACCCCTTCCTTTTCAAAACTCGGCAATCACTTAAAAAAAAAAAAAAAAAAAAAAGGGAAGTACAGAAACTGGAAGCCAGTAAATAAAATGGAAAAAAAAAATGGAGATGGAAAGACCTGTCATCTGGGTTGGTTTTGTTATCCAAATCAAAACATACTGGAAGCCCGACACATCCACCAGTTTCTACACCCAACCGAAGCATTGGTTTCTCTTCAGATGTTTCAGTGGCCTGTAATTCTTTCATTCTCTGCAAACAACGCATTCAAAAATATCAGAGATAGATAATTAGAATTCATAATTGAATCAAGTGAATTAAAAATAATGAAACTAAAAAAGCCAGAAAAAAAAAAGAGCATACTTTGATGCAACTATCAGTCATGTGAATATCTTCTAAGAAGGAGGTTGAATAGAGCTGAGAAGCCGATGATTTTGCCGAATTCGAGACGCAAAATATGGGGTTGCCGTTGATACACGGATCGCGATAACATTTCGTTCTTGTGCCCTTCTCTGCGTTTCAAGCGTTTATTTTATTTACTTTTGGTTGTGGGGAGGCTGTGTGTTGGTTCTTAAGGCGTTAAGGCTAACAGAGGGGAAAAGGCAGTTTCGTCATTTCAATTAAAAAATTTTAAAAGAAGTTATGAGGTCCAAAGTTGAACGGCTATGGCGGAACAATGTGTTGCAATCTGACATTGATTCAGGCATGGCGGTAGTTTGGCTGCTGTCGGTGACAGTATGTCAGTCAGTCAGCTTTTGGGGAAAAATTGTCATTTGATAAAATGCCGAGATAAAAAATGTCACATTTTTTAATCCTGTGGGTTTATTGTAATTTTCTTATATCTGAAGGGTGAAATAGTTTTAAACCCGAATTTTGATAAATTACAGTAACTTTTTTTTAATTGGTTTATAATCTTTTATCCTTTCATAACTATTATCTTCACTCGAGCACTAAAATTTTGTTTTTAGTTATTCTCCAAATTAGCATTAAATTTCTTTAAACTAACAATAAATTAAGCAATTGCAATTATATTTTATAAAAAATAAGAAAAAAAAATATAATGTTCTTTAAAAAGGAATAATATTGTGTGTAAGTGTTATTTCAAGTTTAAAATAAGAATGAATATCTATAAATCAATTAAGAATATCAAATTTTAATTTATCCTCAAAAAGGGGTTAAGTAATTATTCTCACATTTTGATTTGTAAACCTGTAAATCATCTGAAGTAGATAAATAAAATAAACTAATAATGTATATAATTAGAATTTGGTTGCGATTCACTTCATAAATCAACAAGTGCGACCCAAAACAATCAAATTCAGTCAAGTCTATATGTTACATTTAAACTAAATATTTGAATACAAATAATTCTTCCTTTTCACCTCACAACAAGACTCATCCTCATTTCCTATGTAGGAAAAGAAAAATTCTCTCAAAATTTGGTTCTAGATTACACGCTAAAATCACTTTTTCCTTTTGCTTAATGAGCTTCGCCTTTCTGCCTCTTTCTCTGCGACGAGCCGTAAACTCAGATCCAAGCATCTCATGAATGTCAAGATTCATGGTGTTGCTCAACTTCACTGTTCCATTATCACTTCTAAAATCCATTGAAACCCAATGCAGCCAGACACGGATGGCATTAGCAATTCTGCATATGTTTTGCCGTGTTTCCGGTGGGGTGTGATTTTCAACTTGCTCATCGAGATCCATGGAAGTTCCACCAGATTTCTTAGCTAGCTGTTCAGAATCTTTACTACAATATATCTCTAGCTTCAACATGTTCACCCACCCAGACGAACCCTTTACATCCAAGTATCAAGTCATTCCATACTGTTCAGGTGGTGAAAATGTTGTTTCCGTCTCTTCACTAGATAGGGTCGATCATCAGCAATTGGCCCTTCTCACTAAATTTTTTTTATACTTGATACATCACATTATGAAAAGAAATGTTGTATTGATGCAAGCATAGAAAGTCAAGAAAACAGAAAAATAATTCAACATATGCAAAGTAAATGAAATCTTAATCAACATTGTTGTCATTATATTA